GGGTGTGAGTGGGGTGGGGGTGTGGGTGGGTGTGGGTGTGGGTGTGGGTGGGTGTTGGTGCGGGTGGGGGTGTGGGTGGGTGTGGGTGTGGGTGGGTGTGGGTGCGGGTGTGAGTGGGGTGGGGGTGTGCGTATGGGAGCAGTTGTAGAGATAGAATACACCCACACTCCATCCACACCCACCCACACCACCCATCCACACCCCACACCCACACCCCACACCCACACCCACACCCACAACCATACCCTGTAGATCTTTTCTGCAATACTACATTAAAAAAAACAATGTATTTGAAATTTGCTAAGGATAATAAGAGATGGCACTAATAAAGAAAGGTGAGATAAAAGATATGAGAAAAAAAGTAAACAACAAAAAGGAAGTGCGAGATTAACATATAACACATACATTCAACCAACAATGTTTAATTTTTGTTGAAGAAGAAATAAGAGAAAAAGACGATCATAATAGGAGAAATTATTGGTTTATTGGGAAGAAGAGAATTGGAAGAGAAAGAGGTTGTAAAAAATTTTGCACGATTTTGCTGTTTTTATTGTGTGTTTGTAATAACATTATGGAGTTGGTAGAACACTACGACTAAGCATCATGTCTACTAAAATAGAAATTGACAACATAATAAACTGTACAAAATCAATATTTCCTATTATAAATTACTGAACATTTTTTTCTAATAGAAATAAATCTTTTACTCATCATTTAGCTATATAATAAGAGTTATTTCTGTGAAATGATTCACATAATTACTTGATTGAAATCGAATTTTATCGAATACTGATAAAGAAATATTTTGTTCTTCCTCAATGATTACTCGTCGCCGCTATGGCTGAATGGTTAAGATGTTTGACATATATCCACAAGATACTGTGTTCGAACCTCGGCCTCCATCAGTCATAGAATGGCCTTGGACAAGTCACTAACGACTGTTTTGTCTCGGACCACCCATCCGATAACAAGTTGACTACGTTGTTGACATACACTAAATGGTCCTTGTGACTAGTATTTGATTAGTCATTATGTATAGGGAGCTTAAGAAATTAAACGAGAAGAACTCTGAGTCAAGCCGGCCTTCTGTTCAGAGCCACATTTAGTAATAGATGTAGGAAAATATCGGACTTCTCGAAACTGTCTTCGGACAGCACCCTATACCGCAAGGTAGCCGAAAGGCGGGGTATTCTTCTTCTTCTTCAATGATTACTCAGTGTATTGAGAAATGAGTCATCTATCAGTTAACATAACTTCACAAATATTTTTCCATTTATTGCGTTAATAGTATGTGATAATAAATTGCTCATAGGTACAAAATATTCTACAAACATTTGAAAACAAACGAAAAGTCATTCCTATGAGAAACCTTTCATTACAGGTCATATTTCAACAAGCCACATCAATCAATGTTTTCATCTGCTCTTATTGATTAAAAAGAAAAATCATTTTATCTTACTTTCATCATATGGTTGAACGCCAAATCCATTTCCATTCATGAATAGCATTTGTGGATAGTTATAACCTAAAGATAAAAGTTAAATTTAATTAAGTTAATAAAAACATTTTCTGTTCGAGTACTTACATGTCACTGCAGCACTGAAAAATATGATTACGTCTAAAAAAAACCAATATATAAAGAAAATGTTAACTGCGTAATCTAACAATGTCCTCGTACACTATGATTAAAATATCTAATAGCCTTATAAGCACATTTTTAATTTTCTTTTTCTGTCAATTGTAGATTAGAGTAGGATAAATACTAGTTTAACTCATATGTCAAAAAAGAATTGCTTTTCATTCTCTTCGAGAATAATTTGTCTTATAATCTTTTACTTGATCTTTATAATTGAAACAGATAGTTTAGCAATACTTTTATTCTTTTTTTTTGGATTGTAGTTTTTATCATAATATCTTCGTAAGAGAGGATATGTTTCATCAGCTTAAACTCTTTTGACCATAAGTAGGCCTTTGTGAGATATAACAAATTTGAAAAAGAATTTCTTCCTATAAATCACACCTTTTCAAATTATAAATATTTTACTAAGCTTTCTTTCTGTTGAAAAAAAGAATCACTTTCTGCTATTAATCGTGAGGTAACAACTTGTACCTCTTAACAATTGATTAATTCACATTTTATTATGAAATTTCTTTTTGAATATGGAGTCAGCTAGGGTGAATGCATACACAAAAATCAATCGTCCTTTTTAAATTCTAGGTAGCTAAACAATATAGCTTTATTTGGTTAATAGCTCCGAAGAAACTTCGAAACAGAAGTATTAATAGGTAGCTCTTAGGGTATTAGGGTATAACCTTCGTAAATATAGACAATATATGTCGATTTTACTTAATCATTCCATATCGTTCTCATCTATAGTTGTGGCATAAGTTTTTTCTCCTTTTTATTAAGTTTCCTTCTAGCAAATATTATTTGTACAAATGATTTTGTTCGAATCTAATATGTATTAGTACCCTACATGTACGTTTCTACCTCTGGCAATAAAGTTCCAGAAGAAATCATTTGATCCTATTATGTCTTATAACGGCATTTGTATATACTATAATACTAATATAAGAATTTGTGGGATTGACCTTCTTGAAACTATTTTTTGAACTCTATACTCTGTTTCTTTTTTTAGTGGTTAATGCTTATGATCATAATCATCGATGATCGACTTCAAAAGAGTCAATATTATCAGATAATCAAATAGAAATTATTTGCAAATAAGCTGTTTACTTTCATGATCAAAACATTAAGCTGGGTGATCTTTCGCATTGCTATAAAGGGTAATTTAACTGAAAATCTTCATAAAAAACACTCTCTACGACAAAAACTTGTTAACTCATTCTCTTGTTATGTTTTTATATTTTTATAAGCTCCAAGAAAAAATTTTTCGGATACATGTAACTTCACTATTTTTAACTAGAGAGGATACATCCTATTCCGCGATGTTGAACATTGCGGAACCAGTTTCACCCCAGAAATCAGTTGCACCTAATTCACAGAACTCGATCATCATTTAATGAAAGAGGCCTAATCGAAATTGATCGAGTTCCGTCAATTCCCAGGAATTCCGTAAGAATATATCCTGTTCTGCAACGTTTAATATTTTCGAAATCAGTTCCGCAAGGCACTTGATTCCAGAAATTCCGGAAACTACACGAAACTCGAACAAGAAGTTAATATTACTGACTCGAGTGATTCCATTGAATTCGTGGATTTCGGAAATCGCTTCAAATACGAAATTTCTCGGAATTCCATGAAAATCCTGGTAATTTCGTATTGAAGTAATGCCCAGAATTCCTTCTATAATTACCTTTAGCCCTCACTCTCACGCATGATGATATAGTTTGAAGGTAGTTCGAGAATAAGTAAGGAACTCCCGAAGGAATTCCGGCATTGAGTCAATATGGAATTCCGCGGAATTTGATGTAATTCCTACTAATTCCGTATTTGAAGTAATTCCAGATTCCTCGTGATTCCGTGTAATCCGCTGTTGAAGCAATGCCGGAATTCCTGGAACTCGAAGAAATTACTTGACTAAGCGGAAGTAACTCGTTGTTCGAGTTCGGTGTAGTTCCTGGAATTCTGGAGTCGCTTTGGGTTGAATAATTGATTTCGAAAAGTTCAACATCGCGGAACAGGATGACTGCTCTAACTAGACGCCACTGATTGTTTTTAAAATTCTCTATATTCCGTTGGCATATACATCGTCTACCTAATCTCTTCTCTCTCATGGTAAATTTTGAAAACAAGTATGAAAAAGGAGCTTATTATATTCTGAATTATTATTATACGAACAGCGTTAAATATCTGCTCTTATCTAACAAAAGAAGCATTTATCAATCCTTTTGGTATATGCTTTTCAATGTCGACACAGATAATGTTTAGAGATGTAAGTGGACCAACTGAGATGCTGCAGACGCTTTTTATGAAAACCTGCCGTCTACAGCCGCGTCGCCGGAAATAGTTTCCGAAAATTTGAGTCATCACTGTCGCAACATAACATCAGGTGCCAGGTTTTTGAGAATTTTCGACAATCAGGATCAGTTGTCAGGAATCTTTCTGTCTAGTCTCCCATCAGTACGTTCTCTATTATCATTTTTTCCTTTTCCATTTCACAATTTGTGGGAAACTAATATAATTTTTTTAAAACTATCCAAATATTTCAGTTACGAAGCCTGCAACTTTTTATCTCAGCCGCTGATATCTGAGACTTCTTAGGCACCCTCTCTAGAGCTTGAGGGTGGGTGTGGGTGTGGATGTGGGTATGGGTGTGGGTGTAGGATGTGGGTGTGGGTGTCTTTTCTTCGCTGGCATCCACACCCACACCCATCCTCACCGATACCGACATCCACACCCACACCCAGACCCATCCCACCACCCACACACCCACCCACACCCACACCCACCACACACCCACACCCACACACCCACCTACACCCTTATCGGCCCTCGTCCTTTGAACATAAATTCCAACTCAGTGGGATACTATTTTTTCTTATACAACTAAGGATGTTAATGCATTGTCAATGTGTATATCGTTTATATCCTCATACACTGCTCTCACAAATAACTGGAGTATATTTAATAATGGCAGTATATAACATTTACTTTCCATTTCAACCAGCAATCTGCACTGTAAGTCATCAACGAAAAATCTATTATACAGTTGTATGCTATGTCTCTACTTTTAGACTCTAAGGTTTCAGTCAAACAATGCTGTTCAAAGAAATATTGTGCTAAAATTATTCTTTACATTTGCCCAATACATTCCATCATCAAGACAAAAATGAAATTTATACAGTCTCCAATGAATACGGTGAGTTTTACACTCGAACTCTTACAGAATCGTTTTTTCTAAACATTTTTCCATTGAAAATCCAACATTAAATAAGCCTTACCGTTACTAAAATGTTGCACTGATGTAGACATAGGATGAAAATTGAGAAAAACCATTGATACTAAAAGACGAAACACTACATGGTAAGTATGGAAAAATTCATATTTGAAAGAAA